TTAGACATAACTGATCTGAACATCTGTTTCAGACTCGGCCATAGTTTAAACCCGATATAACAATCTTGCCTTTGTAATTGATTTCAACCTCTCTTACACCAGGTCAGCAGTTGAAGTACAACTACCCTGGAGTCTATGACAGTGACCTCCCCTCTAAGTTGGTTGGCAAGACCCCCAGCATTGTGGATTTGGTGAAGAACGTCCATGTAACATCCCCTCCATGGAATCGTCAATTGAATCTGCAGTCCAAAAGTGGGCAGACGTTTGTCAGCTTTAACAAAGCTAGCAAATGGGGGGAAGGTGGGTATAGTTTTCCTTCGAAGATGTGAATAAATTTAGTAAACATTCACATGAGGAACCAAATTTCAGGTTACTGGTAGCTGGTTTCAACTGAAGGCAGCACTAAATTTGGAAATGACTTTGGACAAAATTCATCAAGAAGTTGTGAAATATACATCTTCTTTATACAGTTAATATATATAATAACCTTGTCTTCTACACCTTCAGGTTGCAAACATGTTAACCAACTTCCCACTCAAGATGGAGGATAGTGTATGCAATATGGTCCTTGCATTACAAACAGGAAACATCAACTGAATACCTCATTTTCAGATGTGTTTCTGCCTTTCTTTTAATATAGGTAAAAAGGCTTGCAGTAGCACCATGCGAAGGAATGTATCTCTATTGACTAGTATTGGGTTCTTTTTAGAACCACAGATACTCATCAGAGATATATTCCTTCACATGCTGTTACCATAAGCCTTTCCACCTATTGCTATCTTTCCCCATGAATAGCCTGAAATTCCACCTTTCTTTACTACTCAATGCCTCATATTATATTTATTGATTCTCGTTTTTTGCTTTTCTTTCTCAGATCTGTATAAAAATTGGCTTGCTACTCATTTCAAGAGTGGCCTGTACTGTGAGACATGGCAGAATGGGGGACGCAATCTCAACTCTTCTTGTGAAGCAGGCCTTAATGTCTACAATGTCAAGAAAGTGAGTCTGAGTGGTGGAAGCGATTTCAAGGGCACCAAAGATCACTCCAAGTGGGCAGTGACTACCAAGTCTGGCCTGAAGTGGACTTGCATCGGAGGTATTAATCGTCAGGTAAGCCTGCCATAACATTGTCTCATCTACCTTGACTTGGTTGACCTCATTAGTAGGGCATTCATATCCCATATAAATGCTGTGTAAGATGTTTCTTTGTTTTGCCAACAATATCACTGATTCCTTTCATGATAATTCTTGTTTACACCTGTTTATTCTTTGTTGACAGACCTCTCAAATGTATCGTGGTGGCGGTGCAGTCTGTTTGGAGAATGCAAATGTCCACAAGGCCTTTTATGATTCTGTGGCTGAGTACGAGCCATGTACCTAAATCTCTGAGATAAGACAAACATCCCCAATTTGGTGTTGGTTCACTTTGAAGGGACAGAATTTAAGATTGATGAAATCTGTAGATGATTTTAATGATCAAACTTTTCTGTTGAATTATTACTAGCCATGTAATCCTCATTTAAAGGAAAATATCTACGCAGTCTTAATCCGTAGGATTTATTATTATAATTAGAATTTAGAGCATGGTAGTGACACTAGTGTGGTAGTGAGCATGGTAGTAAGAATTTACCTAAGGATTTTGGACCAGTGTTCAACATTTTAACCGCATTATTTCTTTTTAACAAATTTTACTAGATTGCGATTGGCCACCCGAGCAATAAATGTAATGTTTACCATGTGCACCCTGACAAAACCCAGAAAAAAGTAGACAATCAGAGTTTGTATCAAATTACATCTCTGCTGAAAAGCTTCTGATATAATGTTCGGTTTCCTAAAAATTGTTCAAATATGTGATTTTTTACTTGTTCATAATAGATACACGTCATTTGCAACACCTCTATTGAATTCTTCACTGATGCATTTTGTAAGTTAACAAAGAATTTAAATCAATTTCGAAATTTTTTTGTCCACTGTTCTATTTTATTAACAAAGTGACACTCTCTACTTGTGAAATTACACAGAATTTGGCTGGATTATTATTTTGTACAAATTTTCTGAAGCAAAGCTTGAAAGTTGGCACATATTCCTTGGGAAAAACCAGTCGCTTTGCGATAGAGGGATTTTACATTGCCGGAAGTATTGTTTGAAAATGTGTGTCCATTTTCACATTTTCAATTGCTGATTGCAAACAAACAATAGTTTCCTTTTCTATCATTTCAAAATAGACCCATGATGCAGAAAACAGCTTTTGTATGGATCTTGCTATTTTGTATTTCTTATACTTGAAATATGCACTCAGCAAACTTAAAAACTGTGAATGAATTAAGAATCACATGTTAATGGAACCAAACATTAGAAATATTCATATGATATGAACCAATAGTGTTCAAACATCAAAAAGGGGCGGTTCCTAGCAGAAGAGATAGGAAGGTACCTTAGGGACACAATTTAAGATTGATGACATTATTTAAGATGACTTGCAGGATCAAACATTTCTGTTGAAGTGTGACTTGCCTTCTAATCCTCATGTTGAAAGGAAAATACCCGCATACCACAGTCTTAATTCTTAGAATTTGTTATTTTAAGTAGAATTTCCAGCATGTTAGTGACACTAAGTAAGTATTGACTTAACTAAGGTTTTGGACCAGAGTTCAACATTTTAACCAGAATATTTCATTTTTAGAATTTTAACAGATTGTGATAAGTGTAATGTTTTCTACACACACCGTGACAAAAACCCAGAGAGAAATAGATAATTAGATTATCGTATCAAATTTCATCTGTGCCCCCAAAGCTGCTGGAATGTCCACACTTGCAAAAACATCAACTGTGTGATTTTTAACTTTTGCAAGTCTTGTTCATTAAGGTTGTACATCGTGTGCAACACCTCTATGGATTTCTTTACAAATACATTCTGTAAATTAACAAAGATTTTAAATCAATTTTAAGATGTTTTAGTCCATCTTTTTATTTCATTCACAAAGTGCCATTCTCTGCTTGTGAAATTCCACAGAATTTGGCTGGATTATTATGTGGTATCAATTTGCGGCAGTAAACCTTAAAAGTTGGCACATATTCCTTGAGAAAAAAGAGTCACTTTGAGAGAAAGGGATTTTACATTGCTGAAAGTGTAACAAAAATGTGTGTCCGTTTTCACGTCATCAATACAAGATTATAAACAAATAACACATTCCTTCTTTATGATTTCAAAATTGATCCATGATGCAGATAACAGTTTTTTGTAATGGATCTTGCTTTGGTACTGTTTTGTGTTTTTGTATACTTAAGCAATAAATGTATACTCAGAAAACTTCAAAATTGTGATTTCAACTGTGAATATGTTTATGGAAGCAAAAATTAGAAATATAAATACTAGAAAAATATTGACCAACAGCATTCAACCAACAAAAAGGGGTGGATCCAAGCGGAAGAGATGGGGGGACCTTACAGATCGTGGATAACCACACCGCCCACTTCTATTGTTATGAACTTAGGATCCACCCCTTGTCTTGGTTTGTAACCATCAGCAGTAGCATAACTTTAGGGCTAAATATCAGGGGGTCACCTGGGAGTGAACACATTTTTTCAAGGCACAACCACAAGAAAATAAACTACAGTTACATAGCTATCTAAAATTAATAGAGATTATGCACTTGTTTCAGATAGGGGGTGCACCCCAAGGCAAGGGTTTCTCCCAGGGCATGTGTCCCCCCCCCATTTGTGTTGAATGTTGCCTTGCACAGTTTGCTACTATTTTATATAGTTACTCAGCCAACTGAACTGGTTCTGTTGTGATTTCAAGTTCGCAAATGATAAAGATTGACAGGTGTAAATTGGACATGTGAAATACTCATGTTGGTGTTGACTCAGAGTTGTGTATATTATATTGTAGTGAGTGTGATGAATATTCATTGTAATAATAGTAATATCAAAGCATTTATAAGGCGCATAGTATCTTACGGTACCTGCAATTCAAAGGAGCCAATACATTATCATT